GGCTACAGTCACCGTGGCAGGAACGTGCTTCTTCCACAAAGCTCTTCATCTTTGACTTTGGATTCCCGTAGCCCATGTTCAGACATCACCTTAACTACCTAAAAACTCAAGTTAGGGGAGAAAGAATGGGCTGGTAGAATTTTTCTTTAACATTGCAAAAGAAAATCTTTTTTAAACCATGTTTGTAAAACAGGTTAGCATAGGTAGTTTTCATTATCATGCATGGGAAAGGAAGTTGCAGAAAGATATCTGTAACTAGGGTGGCCGCAGCTGGCTACCAGTTTTGAACGTTAGCATCTACGATGTAATGAGCACATCAGGCCCTGTCCATTCCACCGGAAGTTGAGATTTCCCACCTTGCCTGCTGAGTAGAGACCTATCAAGATCGTGTCTTATCTAAAAGGTGGCCCCTGTGCCCGTCACATCATTTACACACAAATGAAAAATGGTGATAACGCTTCGTAGATTTTGTGACAAAACCCCATTCTGTGGAGTATAAAATTATTCATCACAGTTGATGGGGAAATGCCAGCGCGAACACTGCCAAGAAAAAACAATCCTGTACGTTCATGTAGTTCAAAACACCCTGAAACAAGAGGCCCTTTTCCTTCCAACTCCAGAAATTCATGGTCAGTAGTCATGTTTTATTATAGGTGCAGAGATAGCAAATAAGCCTCCACAAAGCATTTTATTAAAATGCTTTTAGATAAGATGCAATTGTTGGAAAGTAAGAAAGGGGTCAAGTTAAAGAAAGGACATTTGATATTTGCTAAGCGTTTTCTCTTTTGTTTCATTCGTTAAAAAAAAAAAAAAAGAAGTCAAGTATTCTGTGAACGTTTTCCCAAAGGCCCTGAGCAAACATGTGAACCTTAACAATTTGTCCATTGTGGCTGTCTCTAAACCCGGGTTTGGGAATCTGTGGCCTTCGTTGTTGTATTTTGAAGGACTGTGTTTTAAGCTGCCAGATTACAGTCCTCGTGGTTAATTCTACAGTGGCTGAAATGTCTTTCCCAGTGTGACAGTGTTATCAACTGAACTTGTCACGATGCTGTCTGCAGAGTCCGACAGGCTGAACAAAGTACGTTTGTAGAACATTTCCCCAGCGTTCAGAGGGACGCGATGTCTTTATGTTCTTCTTGCACCTCCCTCCTCTTGAGCAGGTGCCAGTGGATCCCACCCCAGCGTGGCCACAGGGCAGATATGGGAGGGAAGCAGGACCGTGGGCGGCCGAGATGGAGGAAACTCTGCAGAACTGCGCCGAGTTCCTGCCCTCCACGCGTTCTCCTTGTTACTGAGCGGATGTTTCCCCAGCACAGAACTGGGAAAAGGCAAGGGCCTGGGTGCGAGGGGTGTCAGGAGGCTGGCACAAGCTGCATCTGCCCCGGGACGATTAGGACTGAGATGGATCAGCGGTGGGACTCCTGGAGGTGGGGAGGGGAGCTGGGCTGGGCCTGGATGCGGCCAACAGCCACCCCCAGTCTCCCAGCACCTGCACGGCGCATTGAATTTACCTGTCTCTCTCCACAAGAGATTGTAAGCAGACACGGCCTATGGCTTGTTGGGTTCCTAGCTCTCCCAACGCCCCCTGCCACCCCCAAGCGCCTGGCGGTGTGCCCAACACATAATAAATACTTTTTTGAGAATCCGAACTGAAAGGGCATGGTGTGAGACACAGTGAATTCTTACCAAAGCCTGTTAATTCGTTAGTGCGCATTTTCAAAAATGAGTGCTTTCTTTTCAAATATGAGTGTTCACAGAGAGTTTTAGAGTACAGATCTTGGCTTCCAAACAGCACATAGGCGACGTGTTCTGCTTTCGAAGCACCCCAGTGACTTTTCAGATGGGAGAGGATGGGAGGGATGAGTCAGCTCTCCAACGTGCCCACAGCAGAGGGGAAGCCTCTCCCCTTACCTGGTCAGGCCTCTACGTGAGCTAGTGCCGTTTCAGAGCAGTCGCTGTGTGTCCAGCCCAGAACACCCACTGACGTGATTAAAAGATGACAGCACAGCCGTCTCCCCTTCCCTTTGTCCTGGCTGACACAATGTGTTGGAAAGTAGAAACCATGTGGCCAGCCTTTGTTTGAAAGCAGCTCTGATTTACACACCTTAAAACCCATTGTGATCTCCCATTTGCTGCATTCTCCCTAGTTGTGGGAAAAAAGGTCACAGTGTATTTACTGCACACATTTATGAGAACCTGTCTCCCTCGCCGACTTGTTTCTGATCCTCCCTGAGATCCTTGGTGGGGCGTCTGCCCCGGCCTCATGCCAGGGAGTGAGTGTCCCCAGGCGCTCGCTGCCCACAGAGCTCATGCTTCTCAGACCTGAGTCCCACCAAAGGAACCAGTGCCAGAAACCATTTGTCATGACTTCTGGTGGTGGCATGGTAGTCATAATGTATTCAGCAAAACCAAAAACAAGGTGTGATAACAACCTGAAATAAGAATAAACTCGAGAAGCGTAGTTTCAGTAAAGGATGCTTTGTATGCTGTATTAGTAATTTTTATTTTTCAAGCTGAGCAATGCATGCTTGATGTATATTTGATCATGAATCCTTGTAACAGTCCTTATGTGGTAAGTCCTGGGCCAGAAACACCCAGACCATCGGGGTGGTTGGATCCAGGTGGGATCCCAGTCGCTCTCAAACCTGAGGCCATGCTCTTAAGCGTTCTGTATGGCGCAGGTCAGCTTTCCTGCTAAAAGGAAACCACAGGATGAGCCCAAGTATAGAAAACCATTGACAGAGCCACGGCAGGGTGTCTGTCATGCTCCTCGGCCCCACAGTTCCTACTGGGAAGTCGTGTGTGGGCCGCCTTGGGCAGGAAGGCACCCGGCCCTGTGGGTTGTATGTGTGGAAGGCTGTAGCTCTACGAAAACCCGTGTCTTTCCGACTGAAGAAGTCTGTGGTCTGAGGCTGCTTTATCACCCCTGGTACTTCTTCAGTGTCACTGTCCACACGATTGAAGTGATAATTTCTGCTTTCTGCTTTTGCAGACAGATTCATTCGTTCAGCAATCCATTGGGCATGTAAAGTGTCAGGGACAATTTCAGACTCTGTAGATACCAAGAAAGTTGAGGCAGACAGTACAGTCAGGATGACATTGGACTCAGGGCAGGCATTGGCACTAGTGGAACAGAAGGAAGAGTTTAGTAATAGAGTCACTGTGTTTGAGACACAATCCACTGAGAGAGGATGGTCTTTTCTACAGGTGGTGCAGAAATGGCTGGATGTCCGTGTGGGGAGATCCCTCCCTCACGCCGTACACAGAAGTAACTGGAATGGGTGCGTGGCAAAACTAAAACTGGGAAGGGACACAAGGGAACTTTTGGTCGTGATGGAAACATTCTATATCTTGTTTATTGTGGTGGTTATGTGAGTGTATAAATCTGTCAATGTCTATTAAAATGCATACGTAAAATGGGCACTTTTTTAATTTGTAAATCATGCCACAGTAAAGTTGATCTTAAGAAAGACAAATCATATCCTGTCCCTTCCCTGCTTAACATTTTTCAATGAACGTCAGCTAAAATCCAGATTCCTTACTGTGTCCTCCAAAGCCCTAGGTGATCTGGGCCCGTCTCGTAGCGCCCCGTTTCCTTTGGTTGTCAGCTCTTCCTGGAATGCTCTTCTCTGGGGTCTAGGCATGGTTGATTCCCAAAGAGCCCTCAGCTCTGGGGCCACCTCCTCAGTGAAGTTCTCCTGGATTGCCAGCTGTCACGGAGGACCTGGCTGGGGCTGGTGACCGTCATCTTATTCTTGTGGTCACATCATGGGTGTAGGATGCCCACCCAGTCCTGCTCCAGTCTCCAAGGAGTAGGAGCTGGGACGGCAAGCGATGGGTGGATCGCGGCTGGGCGCTGGCAGAGGGATTGTGGCGGGAGAGTGAGAGCTGAGGGTGCAGGGGGTGCAGTCCGGGTGCGGGCGGGGGGCGGAAAGGAAGTGAGCCAGCTGGGTGGGAGGGAGGACCTGAGGAGAGTAGGGCGGCCAGGAAGCCCAGTGAGGGGACTGAGAAGGTGGGGTGCAGGGAAAGACGGGTATTGAGAACTTCAGAATGAACTGGAACTCCAGAATTTAGAATTTGGAGAGAAGAAGGGTCCTGGGTGTGGCCGTGTGATTAGTGGATGAAATGGAGAGTAGAGGTGTAGGTGAAAGTTAGATCCTTGGGTGAAGAAGTGCAGCCACCCGTCATGTCACCCCCTGCATCCAGGGATGCAGGTGAGGATGGAAAGCAAGGCATTCAGGGAGTGATGAGGGTGGGTGGTGCGGGTCGCCTGGAAGCTCCAGGAGCCGGCTCAGTTGCCTGAAAGGGGAAGGGGGTGTCCTGGTGGGGGTGAGGGGGACACCGCACTGGTTCTGGGGGCCCTTCCAATGTGGCAGAGCCCAGGTGCACACTGCAGGAGCTGGAATTCATTTCGGCCAGCAGAGAGGTTAGGAGGGCCCAGGTGCACCACCGGTGTCCGCGACGGGGACAGGTGAGGGATGGGAGGAGGCCTCGAGGTGTGGGATGAAAGAAGCAGGGGTCAGCTTTTTTTTTTTTTTTTTTTTTTTGCGGTACGCGGGCCTGTCACTGTTGTGGCCTCTCCCGTTACGGAGCACAGGCTCCGGACGCACAGGCTCAGCGGCCATGGCTCACGGGCCCAGCCGTTCCGCGGTACATGGGATCTTCCCAGACCGGGGCACGAACCCGTGTCCCCTGCATCGGCAGGCGGACTCTCAACCACTGCGCCACCAGGGAAGCCCAGAATCAGGTTTTGAGCCCCAGGAAGTCGTGTGGTACAAAGTTAACATGTTCCTGCTAAGAGTCATATGTTTCAGTAGCAAAAATAACAGACGTGTATCATCACGATTTCCATGAATATTTGGAACATCTTCTGAATTTGTGTGCTATTTAAAAATTACACAGATGTGTACTTTAGCTGGGTTTCTAACATTTTATAAATAATCCTTTTAAAGTATGGGCGCTAACATTTACGTGGTTTTTTTTGTTTGTTTTCTTTACAGAGGTTCTTAATCCAGAGCCAACTCCATGGACCCAGGCCGGGTTTGGCCCTTGGCCTGCTGTGAGCGGGGTGTTGTCTGCTAGAAGACTCCCCTGGCCTACCTGCTCTGGTGCCTTGCAGAGCAAGCGAAGAGGATGGACGGAGTGACGCGCCCTCTGCCTGTGTGCCTGCTGCCTTCTGCGTCCTTGTTAATCCTAGTGTCCACTCTGGCGACTGCTAAGAGTGTGGCCAACAGCACTTTAAATGGCACTGACACGGTCGTGGGCTCAGTGCCCGTGGTCATTGCCAGAACCGACCATATCATCGTCAAGGAAGGGAACAGTGCCTTGATCAACTGTAGTGTTTATGGCCTCCCTGAGCCTCAGCTCAAGTGGTATAACTCCGTGGGCAAGCTGCTGCATGAGGACAGCAAGGACCGAGGGGCAGGTAGGCTGTCCAGTCGTGTCCCGTGTCAGAAACTACGGGGAGGGACTTGGGGGCCGGCACCCTCAGTGTCCGTTGTTCTTATGCAGATCATTTCAACATCTCCTTTTGTCTTATATTTCTAAGGCAAGAGAGAGATATCCAAGAAGTAGATATCCTTAAGGATTCAAAGCAGTAATGAATTCATTCTTTCACTCTTGACTCAGAAGACAAAACGCAAACAGCTTCTCCCCTCTAATGAAAGTATTACAGTAACGAAAATATTGTATGTATTGTTTGAGTCTTTTAAAGGGCCTCTTGGAATGTTGCAGTATAATGCGTACAGGATATTGTAGGGGTGGATATAAAGTGGATTTTCCTTAAGTATATGTTCTGTTTATATGGGAGTTTTAATTTGTTTCAAGGAACATAGCAGTTGTCTATCATTAAAGGTCAGTTAAATTCGTGGACTGTGGGTTTAAAGGTCACATCTTTTGAGAGCAGTCTCTGTGCAGCTTCTCACCAGCAGCCAGAGATCATGTGTGCTCCCGGGGACCTGGCTGAAGTTTCTAGACTGTTGGCCAGGGGGGAGAAATAACCCGTGGCATAGGGGGAGTGCTTGGCTTCTCATGAATGAGTTTCTGGCCAAAAGGTGCAAATCCCCTTCCCACGTACCAGCTCACTTCAGGAAGGACTGTGGCCGGAGCGGGGCACTGTGGGCCCTCAGGAGTCTACATGCTTCCTATCTCAGGTGTGAGAACCAAGCCTGATTGATTGACCTGAAGGCCCGGGATGTACTTTCTGAGCATCTCCAGTAATGACCTGGCAGGTGGGGGTGAGGGTGAAAGGACCCGGATCTGACTTAGCAGCTGCTCCGTTTCTCCCGCCCTTTCCCTCGTGTACCTCCCAGCCCACAGCCCTCTAACCCCCAGAAGAGTCTCTGCCCCAGGAAGGCCTGCATTGCTAATCTCTTTTCCTCATTTTATCTTAATCGCTCTGAAAAAGAGCAGAGGCCGGGACTTCCCCGGCGGTCCAGCGGTTAAGACTTCGCCTTGCAATGCAGGGGGTGCCGGTTCGATCCCTGGTCGGGGAGCTAAGATCCCACATCCTGTGTGGCCAAAAAGTAAAAACACAGAGCAGAAGCAACATTGTAACAAATTCAATAAAGACTTTAAAAATGGTCCACATCAAAAAAATCTTAAGGAAAAAAAAAAGAAAGCCCAGAGGCTAACACTGTGTCTCCTTAGGTGCCGGGTGATGGGGTGTCTGACAAGTCCAGGCTTCGGCTCCCAGTCATGCCCCGACATTCACTGCCTGTGCTGCTCCTTACACAGCCGTTCAAGGCCAGGCAGCATCATGCAGCTTCTCCCCTCTAGTGCAAGTATCATGGTCACGAAAATACCATGTGTACGTTTGCATGCTTCACCTGGTAGAGGGGAACTCCCTCCCCACCAAGTAAAATGATGGGACCGCAGAACTTTCCCATTAGAAGGGACCCTGGAGACAGTGCAGTCCCAACCCCTCTTTTATGTGACTTTTCCCCGGTCCTGTGGTCATTAAGTGGCTGTGACTGGACCGTCCGTGCTGACAGTGGGCAGATGGGACAGCGCAGCCCCTTCCTCCTACTGCAGGACAGGAGGAAGTGACGTCACACCTGTGCGGGGGCGGTGACCATGGCAACGTGTACACACTCAGGTCCCTGGACCCCACCGAGTCTTTCTGCTGGGCTGGCCTCAGGGAGGATTCTCGGGGGACCAGGGACTCCAGACCGAGCCTGCGGCTCCCGTGGGCCCGGAGCAGAGGTGGCCCCGGGTATAAAGAGCCAGGGTGGGGCTCTGAGCCGTGTATCCGGGAGAGGAGGGAAGCGTGGGAACAGAGTGGGGCTGGGGCCTGGACCTAACCGTGGCTTTGTGAGGGCTGCCTTGGAGTCGTAGTGGCCCCGCCAGGGAGGTTGCGCGAAGTCTTGATGGTAGGGGTCCAGCCTTGGCAAGTGGCCCCCGTATGTCATTTCTCTCACTGGGAGGTTGGAGGAGCCAGGGTCCCCTGGGCTCACTTCTCTTCCATCCGTGGGCGCCGGGAGAGGAAGGGGCAGACACCAGTGCCTCGGAGACAGAGCCTGGGCGCAAGGCGGGGCATCAGAAGCCTCTGGGCGTGCTTGTGGCCAGTGGCCGTGCTGAGAAATCCGTTGGCTGTTCTCAAACCTCGTAAGGAAGACACACTGTGGAGTTTGTAAAAGAACTCGTGATCCTGGCACTTGATGTTCCAGCTCAGCTTTGGTAGTTACCGTACATAGTAACAGGCATTTCAGGACACAAGTAACACGGAGCAATATTCAGAACAACCAGGCAAGACAGGGGAAACGGCAGAACATTTATCCTCATCATAAAGTACGTGCGTGGTGGTGCCACTCCGAGGACCCATGGTCTCTAAGTCTCCATTTCTGACAGGAAGATGCCCACGTGCTAACCAGGATGTAGATTTCAGTTTCTGGGCCGATTGGCTAGGAGTTTAAATGCAGCAGTGTTAATAACAAGGAGGTGACTGATACAGCATGGAAAATGGTGCTCCTGCGTAGGAATGTTACCTGTGTACACAGCAAACCACTGCTGAAACCAAACAAAATGAGTGTAATTCCCATTAGCCACCACTCCCGTTGACTAAGCCCTTGTACCACGTTGCACACCTTGTTTCTGGTCCTTCCAGTGAGTGTGAGGGTTTGGTGGCCTTGGTGCTCACACATCCAGATGAGAAGCGGGTACGTGGTGCCCACTGTGCCCACCAGCACATGCTCGTCCCCCAGGTCTTGGCAGGCGAGGGGTGGTGAAAGCCTCTGACCAGACGGAGTGGATGAGAGGCTGGATGGTCGCTGCACCAGCCCCGTCACCGTCACAAAGAAGCAGGGTTAGGACCCCGCCATGACCTGCGTACGAGGCTTGCACACACCCAGGTGTGTTCAGAGCCGTCTGGCGAGTTGCCCACCACGTGTGCTTTGTGATTCCAGGAGGAGTTCCATTTCTTGTTGGTGCTGAGAAGGTGAGACGGCTGTTCCTGGCGCCAGCCCCGCAGGTCCTAGAAGGGACGGGCTATTTCCTGTCCCTGGCAGGGGCAGCAGTTGCTTTGCTTTGTGTCCCTCGTGTTGTCACTTCATTCCCACAGATGAGGAGAGGCTAATGTGTGAGCTGTTTCTGGGGGAAGACTTTTTTTGGAGTTCACGGAAGGACACGTTTGGGGTGGTCCACCAACCATGTTACAGAAATAACCCACGAGTCCAATAACATGAGGAACCACAAATGGCCACAAAATGTCCTGTTTTCAATTTTCCTTTTGCTGGAGGTAAGTAGGAATATATAGGTGCCAGAAAGTGGTCCCCTGTTATTTCAGGTACCAGTTATCCAGTGTATTTTTGCTGTAGCTTCATACTCTGACTTTAAAAACCATTGAAATGCACGTTGGCACCTTTATCAGATGATCAATAAACATTTCAAGAAAGTCAGCTTTACAGAAATAGAGACACAGATGTAGAGGACAAACTTATGGTTACCAAGGGGGGAGGGGAGGGTGGGATGAACTGGGTGACTGGAATGGACATATATACACTACTACGTATAAAATAGGTACCTAATGAGAACCTGCTGTTTAGCACAGGGAACTCTACTCAGTGCTCTGTGGTGACCTAAATGGGAAGGAAACCTAAAAAAGGGGATGTATGTATACATATAGCTGATTCACTTTCCTGTACAGCAGAAACTAACACAACATTGCAAAGCAACTATACTCCAATAAAAATTTTTAAAAAAATTAAAAAGTCAGCTTTGGAAAAGGCATAGGCCTTTGTAAACATGCCTGGTTCGTTAGCGATTAACTTGGAAATTCTTCCTTCAGGTGAGGTTGTAGACTTTCCTGTGGATTTGTTTTCCATTCCCCTGTAGCATTCTGCCACCAAAAATAACTAAGAATTATCTCTGCAAATAAACACGCACAGCGTAAGTAAGCTGAGCCGAATTGTACAAAGTTCACAGTTGTCTCACAGCTACTCGACCTTTGTGGAATTTATTGTTATACATTTTGCTTTAGTTTACATGGCTCTAGTGTTTTTATCCTCTGCTTTGCAAATGTTTTCAGTAGCCCGTGAGATGCTTTCAACTCCTTCTGTCAGGGGGCCTCAACGAACTGTGCCAGCCACGTCTTGAGACCTGAGTGTATCACCCCCTGCAGCATATCCAGGAGGGGGTCAGCGCCCACAGCACTAAGTTTACAGCATCCTTTGCCTCTGAGATGAAGCGTGGAGTAGTGCATTAACCTATGGAAGTGTTATACCGAATTTCTCTTAAATATGTTCAATATTTGAGATTTAAAAAATCAACTCCTCAAAAGGCATTAGACAGACTTTACGTAACTATAAATATATTACTGCAAATTCAGCAGAACAGCACAATGGCATCTCTTTGAGCAAGTTCCTCAACTTTTTGGAGCCAGTTTTCCTATCTGTAAAGCGGAGATAATCCTCTTTGACCGCCAGGCAGGGCTGTGCAATTTGTGTCGTGTATGAAATGTCAGTCCAGTACGTGGAACCCACCAAGCCATCAGTAAACGGCAGCTGCCACCGTCATTGGTCACATCACCAATGTCCTGTGTTGTCACAGTCAGGATCCCAAGTGCGTCTGTCTCTGCTTCGTAGTATGGTGTGTTTTGTAAAGAAAGGAAATAGTTTTCTGGGCAATTTCTTATTTGCTCTCTCAAGTTCCCAACCTTTTAAAAAAACATTCAGTAAAGACCAAAAACACTTATATCCCTTAAGTGTTGTTTAGAAGCTCGAGTTAACGCTGCGATGGATGTGATGGCGAGAGTGGCGCTCCCCCCTCCACCAGCAACATCCCCCACCCCCCGACACGTACCCTCCGCATGCAAGGGGCCCGCTGCCCTCCAACGCACCCAAGCCTCAGAGCAGTGAGTGTGGATGTTACGGAGTATATTATGCACAGGGTGAACTTTCCCTTTGCCTAACCCACTGGTTCTCTCCCCTA